AAACTACCAGCAGAATCCCTACAGCGCTTTGCATGAGGACATTCTGCAAATTATGGAAATTTTGTTCATCCATCCATCCTGCAGCAGATGGCAAAGCAGTGAGAATGGCCAGAGCTGGTGGGTGGCAAGGATGTGTTTACTTTAATAAGGCCCAGAGATTAAAGTTCCACCAGTGCCCATCAGCAGTCTGTTACATTCATTCATTTATAATTATTTCCCATTTTTCTCGCTGCAGTTATCTTTTAGAATTGCAGTTATTTGGATGTCTATAACCACCCAGTGTAGCTCACATGACCCTGACCCAAAGCAGGGCATCCAGGATCTCTTCCAGGATCCCCCTTGTAATCCAAGCCCAGGCATCAGGTATTGGACACTGAGCCCCTTGCAGCCTACAGAGACAGGACTGACTGTGGTCTTGCAGAACCTCTTCTGCCACGATCAGGCTGTCCAAAAGAACAGGAAGGAAAGAAAAAAAGCAGGGGAATATGTGGGTACAGGAATGAGAACAGACAAAAGAGGAAAAGTGTAAAGGATACAGCTGAGGGAATTAAAAATGGTACCACAGAAGATGAAAACTACAGCATAGGACTGGTACCTATAATCAGTGCTATAGAACTTCTGCAAAATGGATAGAAAAGCTGCAGAGAAGAAACTTGCTTAGGAAGGAAAAATACTAATAGAAATAAAAAGGAGAAAGATAAAATAGGAGTCAGAGACAGAAGTCCCTGAAGTTGTGCAGTTACAGCCCCAGTAAGCCCAAGTACAGGAATGCTGGAGGAAGGGGAAGGGAGAGATAGCTAATGGAGGAGTTTGTTGGAACTCCATAAAAAAAATCAGTTCCTTCCAGATGTAATGTAGCCCTGCAAAGTCTTGGCTTGGAGCACCATCCATTTCCTGGGCACTCAAGCACCAGGGAGCTGCACTCTGCCAGGTGCTGTTCACTTTTGATGGATGCTGCTGTGACTAGTGCATTAAACCCAGCAAAAGTGAGGCTTATTAGGCTCTGAAAACCAGGGTCCATCACTGCTCAGAGTACTTATACACCAGTCTGGCTCGAGAGAGGTTCCAGCGTTCCCAGAGCACGCAGGGAGGCCTGGTGGATGCCAGCACGAGTCCTCCCACATACAGTCCACATCTGTTCCAGGCCCTGCAACACAGAGCAAACTGGGCAGCTGCCACATCCCCCTCTTGCAACTCCTGGTGTTTCCTCCTTGTGTTTGGTGGCAGGTTATCATGAAAGCTTCAGGAAGTCTCATCCCATCACCAGCAGTCCCCCTGTGAGTGGGGCACGATGGAGTCAAATTATGGTTTTGACTTATGGGATTCGGGCCACCACAAGAAAAGTCTCTGTGTAAGCTGGGTCACAGGACAAGGGTGTGTTTTGGTCTGCTGTGTGCTTTACTGAACCCACAGACTCATTATCCAGCTCCTGTTTCCAGGGTGAGAGCTCTCCCTCACTGTGGCTCCAGAGCTCAGCCAAAGGCTGATGGACAGACTGTCACTGTCCCCTGCTGTGGCTGTGACTTTCTGCTGTTTGAGCCAAGAGTGGTGCCAGCCCAGTTGTGACCTTCTCTGCCCCTGTGCCTGAGTCCTCCAACCCTCCCTCTCTCCCAGCAGCTTTTGCAGACAATCTCCCTCTCTGCTCCTGTAATGAGCTGCACGGCGCGATATGGAATTAGTAGAATCTGAGTTATTAATTGTCTACAACAATTAGCCAGGATGCCTGGGCCTTCAGGCACCTCGGTGACGTGTGGGAGCCAATTACAGTCTTGTACATATTCATGGGATTTCATCCACAAACCAGGAGAGCTGCTTCCCCAGCTCTCGGCCCGTCTCCTTTACTCCGACTCGCATCCAGCCCACCCTGAGCCAGAGGGGAGTAGTTTCCTTTCCTTTCACGTTTCCCTGAAATCAAATATTTGCAGTGCCCATAATTGATGTAATGGAAATGCAGAACTAGCACATCTGACAGGGAAGAACAGAAGAGGCCTGCCCAAAACTCGCTCGTTCCTTACAGGAGGAGATGCAGAGATCTCGCTGGACGTCTCCCCCTGCAGTCACCCGCTCTGTCAACCACAGCACATCCACAGGAGCTGGAGGAGGGATATTCCTCCCAGTCAGCAACCCCCCAGCTCCATCTCAGAGCACAGTTCCCAGCTCTCATGATGTAGATCAGCGTGGCCAGTGCGTTTCCAGTGAATCTGGTGGATTTAGACCAGTTTATCCCCACGGAGGACCTTGACAGTAAGTTCTGGGCTGCACCAGATGAGTCACTAAATGCTGGCACGAGTCAGATGCCCATGTGTGTGCTAATTCCACTGCTTCCTAAGGTTTCTCTGAAGTTACATCTATCAATATCCACGTGCTGTGCTCTTGGGAAAATAGCAACCCTGGGAATACTCCACTGGAACCATGCTTGACCCCAGCAGGAGCTGTGCTGGGATGAGGCCCAAGGCTGTAACTGAGCTTCACACAGAGTTCTGAGAGGCTCCAGCACAGCAGGGTCCGAGCCCAGCCGAGCAGGGACATGTTTGGGTACCCACTGATGCACCAGAGTGCACAGCTGACATCTGTCCCACAGCAGCCATCCAGGAGCTAAAATGTTAAATCCATAACCCGCTCTCTGGATTTATTGTCCCGAAGGCCGTCAGGACTTTTGTGAGCTTTGGAGTGCAAAATAATGTTGGAAACACACGTTATTTATCTGACACACTGGAGTGACTCCTCCTCAGCCATCACTGTCTGCTGAGGAAATAAATCCCTGCTCTGTGTTTGGGAAACAAAGCTATTTCTGTCACACGGGAGACCAGCTGAAGCTTTTGACAGAATCTGATTTTAATATTGCTAATCTTTGCTTTTTGTTTTTGTGTACCCAAACAACTTTCTGAAGGGGCCTGATTGATTTTGCCTTTCCAGTCATTTTTAATCATCATCTTTGCAGGCTGATAAGAGGCTGGTCACAATTTTCATAAGTGATTTGTGCTTTGGGTTGCTTCGCTTCCGTTACGGACACCGCCTCAGTGAAAATCAATAACAAATTAAATCACAGGAGGCAGCGTGACCAGTGAAGGAGTAGCTGCAGGCTGTAAGGGGGGAAGGGTTTGTATTTTTTAAAATTAGAGATAAATTGAAAAAAGATAACTTTGTGGCTCCATCAGAAGTAGCCACACTAGAAAGGTGCCAGGTGTACACGGAATGTGCTCGAGATTCTACATCATATCAGCCCGTGACTAGGACACAGTATTGGTTCCACTGTGTAGTGCACTGCACAGCCTGGTTCTCCCCCATTACTCCTGATTTATTCCATCTAACACCATTAACTTGAAGAAAGTTCCTCCTGACTTAACACCAGTACGAGACCAAGCCCAGATTCCTCATTCTGAGACATGGAAAATGGGAATGTAATGCAGTCTTCTGCCTGAGCCTCCCACAAACATGTTCTAGCTCCTCTGAGCCTGTGAGGAATGAACCTTTCTGCTTTGAATTCACAAACCTGTGAGCTCCCCCAGGGCACTGGGAGAGGCACCATAAACAGAGTTTAGGTCTCCCTGATGTGCTTTTCAGTGTCTGTTTTGTTTCCCTGCATCCCCACAACTCCCCTGAACAGCAGCAGCGTGACTTGAATTGCCCACAGTAAGTCCTGGACTCGCCAGTCTCAGTGTCTCAAGTTATTGGCTGGTTTTACACTGAGGTTCCTGGCATGTGGCGGCCTATGACTGGTAAGTGCAAACATTTTATCTCTTAACAACTTCATTTAACCTCTCAGCTGTCTGTTGCTTTCTTTCTTCCACTTCGTGTGCTTCCTAGTTTATAATTGTTCCTTTTTGTTGTGGGCATTCTGCCTGTGAGAGGAACATTGCAGGAGGGAAAATAAACAGTGTTTGATGTTACGCTTTCTGTTTAGAAGTTTGTTTCTCTTTCTTCTCCCATTGCATCAATATTAACATGTTGATTCATAAGCAAAATAAAGTATATAAATACACTCTTTCTCTTCTTTTTGAATCGTAAAACTCAAAGTTATAGTTCCCACAGCAACCGTAACTCAACCTTAATGTGCACATCCATTAAAAGCAGGGAAATTATCACCCAAGGCAGCAATCGAATGGGTGTGAGGGGATTCTGCTACTGGTTGAAATCCCAGAGATGTGAAACATTCCACGTCTGTTTGTGACAAGATGTCACACCGAAAATAAGTAAGAGATCTCAAAGATCTTGCTCTTTATGGACAAAAATGGGATTCAACCTTGCAGTGTGCAGAATCACTTGACTCAGGTGGTGTTACCTTTACTGTTGAACTCCACTGGCCTCAGAGATGCTGAGGCCCCCCAGAGCAAAGTGAGTGCACTGAGCACTCTGTTGTGCAGAGCTTTTGGGGTGACCCAGAACCACCCAGAGTGGAAGGGTCTGACAAAGGCGAGAGGCCCCCGTGACCCCAGGCCAGGGCACGCAGCATGTGCCACACCACAGAGCTGGAAGGGTCATCAGAGGAGCTGCTGCATTCACAAACATCCTGTGCCACCCTTCTTTTCAGCTGATCTCTGGGAGAGACACGATTCTGAAACACAGGGAAGGATTAGAGGGATTGGATTAGAAAGGATTGGAGCCCACAGGGACACAGAGGAAAGGTTGGCACTGTCCACAGGCAAGAGAGGTCTCAGCCCCTCCAGCTCCTCTGTGCTGGCTGCCAAAGTAGCCAGTCACTGCAGGGAAGTGTTTTCAACACAAACTGCATCCCAGGGGACTCTGGCTAAGTTATTCTAATTATTTGTGCGATAAGATGAAAGAGCAACGTGTTCCCATTTCATAAGGGCTTCAGCAAATAGAGTCCACCAGGTGCTGATGCTCCTTTGTGAGGCCTGAGAGCTGAGAACTAATTAGTCCCAAATTATACCCCTGACAAAGACACAGCAAGGAAGCAGGAAAGGCGTTCACATGCCAAACCGCTACAGCGTCCTTTCAAACGGCAGATCAAACGGGCAGCACCACTTCAGAGGGCCAGCGACGCCTGCAGCAACCGGTTGGTATTTACCTTAAACAGCAAGGAGAGAGGCAGAGGAGGGGAGGAGAAGAGAAACATCAAAAGGGCTGGCAGAACCGGCTCTCCTGAATCCTCTCCGTGCTGTTCCCATAGGAAAGGGGTTTCCCTTAAGTTCAGGCCTTTGGGATCTGCACAATTGCTCTCAGCACCATTTGCTGTCATTTTCCATTGGATGTACTTTTAAACAAGCTTCACAGTCGGCTCTTTTAAATAAACATGAAGGCAGCAGCTGAGTAGAATACAGCTGGAGTTTGCAGACATGCTGTTTGATGTGTTCCATGATGCAGGAGGTTGTGTGTGATCCTACAATTAAAGGCTCATCACAGTCCAGCCCAGAAGGGTTAACACAACTTTTCCTTTCATGTTTCCTGACTGTGCAGGCTATTGCTTGGTGCTCCTTTCACTCCTGCACAGCCTTTCCTAAATCTCCCACCAGTGTTGCAAAGAGCAGACTCTCCTCTCACCCCCTTCCAAACTTTCAAAAGGAAGAAAAGCCCTACCAATGACCTGGTGTGGGGCAGAGAGGTGTCTGTGCCCATTTATCAGCATGCACAGAGCCAGTGCCAATCCCGGAATGCCCAAGAGGAGACACAGGCATTAATCAAAGCAGTTTCCCACTGAGAGTGTCCTGCAAACAGTCCTCAGCCTTCCTCTTGCATGCCTTCCCATGATGGGTGCTGTGCAGTGTACCCAGTTTGTGTTTCCCTCTGAAGTTCATAGCACTGTCCTTTGGCAGTGGCACCGCCCTGGACTGGACAAACCATCCCCCTGTTACACTCTGGTACCCCCTCAGCTGATCTCAGACACACCAGAGCACATTCAAAGCAACTCCTCTGCTTGGGTGTCTGAGTGGCTCTAACCTGGTACTGCCATGTATGACACCACCTTCAGCTCACAAAAGTAGTGACAGCCCACAAAATCCTAAAGCTTATCCAAGAGCACAGGGCATCCCAAAGACTAAAATGAACCCATAGTCCATTAATTCCATTCTGCAACAGGGTATTTCATCAGGAGGATTGGAAGCTGTGCCCCTAGTTGGGCCCACTCTTGGCCTGAGGAATCCACAGCAGCCCCTGGGGCAGGACTCAGCTGGTCTGGGGCAGAGCTGGGCCCAGGGATCAGCCACACAGCCCCATGTTCCTTCACAGCAACCCCTCTCTCCTTCCCTCCTTCTCTTTTCACTAATCACAGCATAATCTGCTCATCACATCTGGGCCCTTCTCTGCTAAGAGGGAAGGTTTAAATGCTCAGGGTACCATGTTAATATAGCACCCAGGTCTCTGTTTACCTCTCCCAAAGCTTCCTGAGGGACTGCACTCTTGGGAATACAATTTGCTCTGTGTTTCTAACCCAGGAGCAGCACTGTGGTGCTTAGTGCAGGCAGAGCCATGGTGCAAGTGCTGAGGGAACACAACAGGCTCCTGCATCCCCCTGCCAGAGCTCAAACACACAGCCAGAGTTACTGGGGGCACCTGATGGTGCAGCTGCTCAGGCAGCAAGACCCCAAAAGCATCCAAAGAGCTGAGAGACCCTTCCTATTCACAGTCAGACACCCAAACTGCTTGGGTGCTTTGAACAATTTGCTGGATGTGTTTCTCTTCCTACAGATGCCCTCGTATCTTTGAATTTTGTCCCAAACCATGGTCAGTCAGGAACGCTACAGAATTCCTCACTGGAGGGTAGGTATTAATAATATCCTAATAACCTGTGAGATGTTAGGTTGGAAGAAGCCCAGCACTTTTTCTGGCCCTTCTCTTTGGGATTTAACTTGATACAGCTCTATTTTCCCCAAGCAGCACCTCATCCCAGTAGAAAGCAGGTCAGATACAAGTTTCTGAATGCCCTGAACTGGCCTGCCTTGCCCTTAGCAGTTCCCCTGATGTAAAGCAAAGTCTCACCGTGGCATGAATCATGTTTATCATAACAAGAAACAAAGAAGGAAGAGAACAAAGGAAAAGGGAAAGAGGAGAGAAAACAAGAAAGGAAAAGACAAACAGAAGAGTGAAAGGGAGGGATATAGATAGACCCATTAATTTGCCTCTGTTTGCTGTGGGATTTAAACAACAAGCTGCAATGTCTCTGGTTTATCTTGGTTCCTCAGCTGTGAAACGTGCTGTGCTCCAGTGTCTTCTGAGCTTTAGAGATTTGCCGGGGAGCTGGGAATGAAGCAAGAGGCTCAGCAAACAGAGATAGCAGAGGCAGCTTCATACATCACACTCAGAGGAAATTCATTCCTTTCAGCGCTGCCCATGGGTGAAATTACATTATATTCTGTTTGGATAATTGGATGTCATATACCACCCGACTTGTTATGGGGTGGCATCTCCTTCCCTAGGGAGGGTATCAGCAGCATCCCAGGACAGAGAGCACGAGGTACAGGTCCGGGGGGGGGGGGAAGTGAGGAGTTAGTGTTGGCTCCAAGCAGTCCTGGTTCCAAACGGGATCTCTCAGGGTCGGGTTAGTAACAGAGAGGGTGAAAAACAGGACAGGAGCAAGAACGAGACGAAGAAATGAAAGGGAGCAAATCTAAAAGGAGAGAAAGCAGAAAGAGAAGGGAGGGCTGATTACTTGGAGATTTTTTTTCCCAGCACAAACACAAAGCATTTTCTCCTTAAATTGGGAGCTGGGACGCAGAGGTCTTTTAGCTACAAATTCAGGGGGGAGACAAGCCTGTCCTCCTGAGCAGGAGCAGGTCACGTAACATCTGCCTGTGGATCCTGCAGAAATACAGCAGTTTTCTCTGATCTCTGTCACTGGGGATCACAGAGGCATTCCAAGTCTCCCAGCCATGCCTTGCTGCATTTTATATCCGCCACTTACCCACATTTTGTCTAAAACGCCCTCAATTTCCCCCTCATTGTGTCCTTTCTTGCAACACCTCACTCCAGCTCATTGATGGCTTTTTAATAGCACAGTTAGAATTGTCACACAAGCCAGAGGACAATTTCATGTGTCATATTGTCCCAGAGCATCCTGGGAACTCCATCTGGCTCAAGTGAACTTATTTTATTGAAATAATCTCTCCTCCCTGCTAGTTATTGAATCGTCTTGGCTCAATGGCCCCGCTCAATATCAACTTTTCATGCTTAATAATTAGTGCAGAGAAAAGAGTTTCATTGAATAAGTGTTTAATGTCACACATGATTAGGAGACACAGAGGATGACCTAACTAGGAATTCAATTTGGGGCTGTGACTGTTCAGATGAGGGACAATTAGGGACATGTTCTAGACTGTGGCTGTGTGCTGGTGAGTGCCTGCAAAGTTATTCGTGGCAGCTGCACCCTTCTCTTCCATGCCATACACTTCAAGGCCTAGAAACAGATGTTAGCCCTTATTTTTCCACCCAAGGAATGTGCTTCTTCAGAAATCTGTGCTGCTATCACTTGATTGCAACAATTGCTGCAATTCCCCTTTTAACTTGATAGAGCCACCAAGTTTGGAAGGAATTTCCAACCAAGCATTAAACAGGCAAATACCCAGTTTCACTCTGGCCTTTAAACATCAGTGTGATGGTGTCTGGGTCCCAAACCACAGGCTCATTTTCCAAGGAGAGCAGGAATTCAGGAACTGACTTGCCACAGGGAGTCTCAGATAAGCTGTAGAAGCAAACCAGGCAGCACAGAGTGATTTGTTTGCCTGGCTATTCATTTATCTCCCCATCTACCAACCACTCCCTACTCACCCACTTGTGCCCTTCCAGCCAGGACGTTTGTGGGCTGTGTTAGTGCCTGATATATTTAGTCTCCAAAGGCTCCCTGCTAATATCCCCTGTATGGGAAAATGAGATTCAGATAAAAAAAGAGACAAACCAATAAATACATTTAGGAGTGAAGATGAGAGACAGTGCTTAACTATTCTGGGGGATCCTCTAAATGATTTTTCCTTAAATTGAGTTCTCCCCGTTCTGGGATTACAGTCCTGGCTGATAAACTCTCCTTCCTCTGCATATTTAACTAGTTACAAACGCTCTGCAAATAGCTGTGCTCTCCATGCTCACAGTGACTGAAATCCTGTCTTAGAGCATTTCCTGCAAAAGTGATTTTTCCCACTTAAGATTCACTAACACACTGATCTACCACATCTTCATACATATCACACACTGCTCTCAGGAGTGATAATAAGAAAATTTGCTCAATGAAACCCGCTTTCCTCCCTTTCTCTGGCTCCCTCATCCCTCTTTTCACAGAGCCTTACCCACCAACTCTTCGGTGCAACATTTCTGACAGGATTTGGAAGGCATTTGATAGCAGCTGTCAGACCTTTACACCTGCACACAGCCCACCCTCTGCTCCTCCCCAGAAACGAGCACATCGATCTGCCCTCTGCAACATGTATTTCATTTCCCTGGGACTTCTGATCTGCCCACTTGTCCCAGAAGAAAGACTGACAAGATGAGAGATGTGTTCCCTGTTTATAGTCATATTTTATGTGCAAGAGATTGATTTTCTGTAGCAGCCACCAGCTTCCCGATCTGGAAACCCAGCAGTGCCCTGAACAGCCTCCTATTCCTACCCAAAGGATGCCTGTAAACACAGAGCACTGTTCCTCACCCTGGGGAATAAACCAGCAGGAAACCCAGCTCACCTCTGTGCCTGTTAGTTGGGTCCACGGGTGTTTCTTTGAGTGAGCCAGAGGGGATCTGGACACTCAGCACCATCCCCCAGGCCATGAATATTTAATTTTTAATGAAACAATTGGGAGCCTTTTTATTGTGCCAGTTTCCTCCCTGCAGCAGCAGGAGGGAAGTGAGGGGCAGCAGAACACATCAGGGCTTGCCCAGATTATCAAAGGGAGATTCAGCTTCAGAAGGATCCCAGGCAGCAGGGATCTCTCTAGTAAAAAGAAACCTTGATTTCTCAGCTGTTTTAGGGTCCCTGGCCAGAACTTCAGCTAATAGGAGTCTGCATCTCGAATAGGATCGTTTCAGAAGACTTTCATCAGCTGTTTCTCCTCCACCTCCTTTCCTCACCCTGTATTATTCATGCTGGGATGTGAACAGTGCAGCAAGATGGCTCCTTCCTTTCCAACCTGATCTTCACAGACAGACACAGGGAATAATTATGCATGCAGGCACTAAAAAGAAAAATCACTTGGATGAATTAGAGACTTTATTTCATTGTTTATTTGTGGGAGTGAGAAACTTACTGTGGAGCAGACTGTATTGCACATGGTAATGAAGCACAATTACCTATTCTTCTCCATCTCAGATGAGAACAAAGAAGCCTGAAAGTCCTCGGAAGGTGAAGGAGAGGGAATTAAAACCAGATTCAAAGTAAAAGGAGAAAAAGACCTTTGAAAGAAGTGGAGGCACTGGGAGCTTACTTTGCTTGTGAGACCTCTATTAAAATCAGACATTATTTCAGAGGCTTCCAGCCCTAGCAGATAATTAATGAAATTAAGGTGAGGATTTGCTACTAAATATTTGCTCATGTTACTGGGGAAAGAGACAGTGCCAAAACCACCTGGATTTTTATGGGCAAATAAATCAAGAAAGAGAAGTGTCTCAATTACTCAGACTACAGAGGGGAATGTACTTCTTTTTACAACAGAGGCTTTTCAGTAAAGTTAAAAATTCATCACTTTTCAAAGCAGCCCACTGCTTTGCAGTGTTTAAAACTCTGGGACAGTCTCTAAAGCAGTATATCCTGTAATCAAGAGATAGTCACAAGGCTGACATTTTCAAAGCTGCGAGTGGATTTGGATGCTGCAGCTGGGAAGGAGACGATGGGAACCTTAAACAACCTCTCTCCAAATCTTGCAGGAGCATCAGGGCCACATGAAGGCATCGTGGCAAAGGGTGTTAGGCAGGATTTCCTCAGGCTCTGTCTCGTGCTGTGACGGGGGTGTGCAGCACATGGAGCTCCCACACCCTGCTGAGCTCCAGGGCAATTTGCTCCTCTGATTAATCGGAGTCATTTCGACTTGTACAGAAGACACTTTGTAGATTTTCCAGCTCTGTCAGTCCAAACTGAGAAGACAGGCAGAGAGGGTCAGTCCTGAGATTGTGTTAGGCAAAAGGCCAGGGTGACCAAAACAGGGCTTCCAGCTTTAATGTTTGTGCTTCACTGTGCTATTAGGGGTCAGTAATCACTAAGGAAAAGCTGGGCAGAGGCATCAATGTGGTGATCATCCATAAAACTAGTGACACCAACCACCAGAACATTTGGAAACCAATCCACAGGATGCTCACAAGTAGCCTTAGCCTTTAAAAAGGACTTGAATCCATGCTAAGCAAGCTACAGGAGGGATGAGTTTAGCCCCTTTTATAATACTCTTAAGCACAGTGTTAATTCAGAGACAGTCAGGCCAGCCTTTAGGTGCTCTAACACTTCAGTCAGACTGGGAAATGCCAGCCCTTCAGCTCCAAGCTATTTGCACAGTGAGCAACTATTAAACCTTCTTCTGCCCTGGGCAACCACTTGCCTGCCAGAGATTGCCCCAGGGCCCAGTTCAGCTGGGAGCTGGAAATGCCATCTGCAGGAATGGCAAGTGCAGTTAAAGGAACTGAGCTGCAGACAAAATATACAGGGTGATCAGCTCCCACCTGCAGCCCAGGCACCATCACCAGTGTGGATCTGGGAGGATCTGGATCCCTCACACCACCCTTTCCTATGCCAAGGGGTTTCCAGCACAGGTTGTGGTACATCTTTTGTGGTATCACTACCCTGGGAGAGAGCAGAAGGCAGAACAGACTTCCAGTCCAGTCTCCCATGGCAATCCCCAGGTATGTGGGGGTGAATGACATACAGTAAGAGCAGGTCATTACATCTGCACTGACAGTGCTAAAAATGGGGTCAGCAGAAAATCCAGAGGTTTTCCAAGGGTCTTGCACTCAGCAAGCAATTGCAGGTTAGTGTGTGATAGACCGAGAGGCCACGCCGAGGAGACAGTTAATAAAAGCAGGACTAGGGGAATCAATGTATTCTGACACACCAGAGACAGATTGGAGAGAGGGACAGATTTAATATCCCGGCGTTATCCTCTCCCAGCCTAAGGGCCCTGCAATTGATTGAATAAATTAAAGCACTGCTGTGGATGACACGAGAGTTAAGGTCATATCAGCACTTCCATCTTAACTCCCTGTATCCTTCCCTCTGAGGTTTTCTTTTACATGTCTTGGCACAGAAAGCTTACTCAGGGGCTGCAATTTGGCCAAGGAGATCTGAGCTCCCATACAATTTTGCTATTACAATTTCCAAGAAGAGGAAAAAAGGCAAGAAAAGGAGAGAATTACAGAAGGAGGATGAGATAGTTCTATCTGGTGTGCTTTTGAAATCAAGGGATAAACAGGCCATGTCAGCCTACTCATAAAACTACCATGTGCTCATTCCGTGTCATGGTCAATCTCTTTTTGCACATAGTGAGCAGAAAAATAGACTTTGAAAAGAAAAATGTACAGAGAACTCAAAAAAATATAACTGTAGGCCAAATTAATCTCTGCGTAGCTTCACTTGCATGCAAAATTATTCATTCTTTTGTTACTAAAAGCATCTAAGGTAATTGCAGATGAACACTCTTCCACTTTTATTCTTTATTATCTCTTGGCAAGTCTCTCTCGGAGTCATCAATAGGATTTTATGTCACAACAAATCTAGCTGCTCAAATAGAGTTGGGTGCTATGACAGAACTGGGCCCCCACTGAGCTGGTCTGATCATCAGTATTCCCAGGGCACCTCTCACCCACATACAGAAGAAACAGGTCTTGGGAAATGCTCACTATTTTCTTTAAAGCACCAGGCACACTCATCTGAGGGAAAAAACTAACCTTTGCCCCTCAGAAATGTGCCGTGTCTCTCACAAAATGAGATTTAAAACCGCGCCGTATCATTTTCATTTTGACAGGCTGTGTCCTTGTCCAGACTCCTGCACCAACCACCACTGGGTCAGCAGCATCTCAAATGTTACCAAAATGCTACCCACACACCTGCTGACACGCAGCTGGTTGACAAACAAGGGGCCAGTAGAGCAGGCTTGGAAAGTTGTGTATAACAGATGAGAGAGACTGTGCAGAGCAAATGGTCTCTGCTCCGCTTAGTGCTTGACATCACACCCTCTGTGAGCACACCAGCTCCAGCAACAGCAACAGCAGAACCTCCCTTTCCCTCCTTTTTTAATTTCAACCCAGTGTGCATAAAGCTCCAATGCTAAAAAGGCAGCACTGAGCATATTGCTCGTTTTAGCAATTACCCATCTGACCCCAACTCCCTCTTTATCTTTTTAGCAGCATCCACAGGGCACCAGGGAGCAGCTTCGACCTTCTCCCTGTGTGAAGAAGCAGGTGCTCAACAACTTCACACAGCACAACATTTCACCAGACAACACAACAGGGAAATTCCCCACCTTTCCCTGACTGTCAACAGCCAAGGAGCAGGATGGTTCCCCACAGCTCATCCTGGGTGCTTTGGGATAAATGTGCACATGAGGATGTGGAATGTGACTGCTTGTTGCCCTTAGTGGGAGTCACATGGCTAAAGCCCCCAAGAGATGTTTGGAAAATGGTGAGGCTTGATGTTTAAACATGAGAAAAAATGTACATGAAACAGTTCAGGGCACCATTCATAGAACCACAGAATCACAGAACAGTTTGGGTTGGAAGTGGACCTTGAAGACCACCTCGTTCCACCCCCTACCATGGGCAGGGACACCTTCCACTAGACCAAGTGGCTCCAAGCCCTGTCCAACCTGGCCTTGAACACTTTCAGGTGTAGGGCAACCATAACTTCCCTGGGCAACCTCAGTTTTGGGACAAATGGCAAATGCCAGGGCCTCAGCACCCTCACAGGGAAGAGTTTTTTCCTAATATCTAATCTAAACCTACTCTGTTTCAATCTGAACCCATTCCCCCTCGCCCTGTCCCTACATGCCCTTGTAAATAGTCTTGCCCCATCTTTCCTGTAGGTTCCCTTCAGGTACTGGAAGGCCTGAAGGCTCAAATAAGACACGAGGCAAAGCCAGCTGGACACCCAGGGGAGACACTGTGCACCTTCCCTCTACACCAGCCAAACCACAGGGGTTAAAGACAAAGAGTCTGAGTCACCCCTGGATGAACCTGCATTTAAACCATGATTTTATGGGGTGAACACACCAGTGACTCAGGCCCTCAGTGTCAGCCTCCTTGGGGACTTCAGTGGCTCTGTCAGGTTGTGTCTGAGTCCATGAATAGAAATACAGATGGAACCTCAATGCCCCCTTCCACAAATCAAGGTGTATCGTTCAAAACATTGCACTTGCATGCTAAATAGAGACTAATTAGACACTCAAAGAGAGGACAAATCTAATTTGACTAGAAGGATATGGAGAAATCAATGCAGTGCTGTGGCAGTAGGGAAAGGAGCCTTTTGTGCTGGTTAAAGCAGAAGCAGGACATGACCTGTCCTTTGCACCCTCCTGGCTTCACTGCTCCTTGGGTCATCATTTACAGCAGTATGCAAATAGCCCCTGGTGCTCCAGCATCCTACACACACCCCAGTTGTGCAGGAAGACACAGATTCCACATCCACTGTGCCTGTATTTGTTATTTTTTAAATCTGCCAGAATGGTCACAGTGAGTTTACCAGCCCTGCTTCCAGAGCAATGTAAATGATGGATTTAATCTACCACAACCCAGCCATCACCCCTGGAAAAATCACACACCTTTTTGTGAATAATGGGGGCCTTCTGATGGATTTCTCTAAATAAAACAGAGCACAGGTGGCTAAAGAAATCTTTGGAGGCCACTCTTTAAACATCAACAGCTCATGGCATCCTCGGGTAGTGGGAGCTTATGAATCTCTCTCTGAAGCTAATGCACTCATTAGTTTTAGGCTGAGGGAACAGATGGCAGCAGACTTGCCTCTTCTTGGACACAAGTGGTACAGGCTGCACCACCCTTCTTTAAAGGCTTCGAGACGTTAAAGAAACTAGTAATTAATCTAAAGA